CTATTTATAGTTAATTATTTGATATTATTGATTGATAGCCTTGTGATAATCTGTTAAAACACATTGAAAGGATTTATTTTATGAAAATTTAAACAAGTCATAAAGTCAAACTTAAGTTTATCCAATTTTGCTTCTTATATAGCATACATATTTATTATTCCATTTAAAAAATACACTCTTTTTACAATTATTAGTTAACATAACAGGCAGTTACTTTAAAACTGTAAAAGTTTTTACATGAACTGATAAAAGTTATTTAAAATATTTCAAATGATGTTTATATGCTTAATTTTGCAACTGTAGCAGAGAATTACAACTAGGAGCATCATGATGCTTAAACAAGTCATAAACTGCATTGTGAAGCTGTAATAAATTGTCTTTATATCTTTCCTGCAGCAATATAGTATTGCATAGACCAATGCTTCATCTTAACTGAAGTTCAAAGCACACCAAAAATAATGGCAGTTAGTATTACAGTGACAGTTGGTAGTGAATGGCTTGAGAATTAAATTTTAAAAACTGTCAAATTTCAAATTTTGTCACTTGATATCATTTTTTAGCTGTTATTCATGCTCATTTCTCTCTCCTTTTTTTTTTGTCAAGATAATTAAATTTATTTAAACTTATGTTTTTTATGTTAAAAAATTTGTCCTTATATTTAAAATATCTTCTTACGTGAATACTGGAAAGCATATAAATTAACACTCCTAAACCTTACATACCAATTGCATTAACTCTAATGATGCCATCAATGTGTCACACGCTTGGAAGTACTGCTATGAAGGAACATTTACATTTACTAAAGATTAGAAGGCCACCACCAATAGGTATAGCCTTGGAAAAGGAAAGATGAAGAGTTGTAGAAGTGAGAAGAGTGAAGAGAAGAAAAAGGGTAGATAGGAAAGAGTGAAATATGACATCTCAGAGCACCTGCCAAGTGCCATTTATTAAACACAAAAGTACAAATAGCCAAAATACAGTGGATTACAGTATAACTGCCCCTGTTTTGAGGCAGTAGGAGCCCCATTACGGCTGACTTGCCTTGGAGCTCAACAAACAATCACGTACGAATGCACAACCCAAATGGGGTATAGACAAAGCTATGAAGGAACAGGAACAGGAAACACCCACACCAGCAGTTAGAAACCACATCCCCATTTTGTGTATTTATATGTATTACATATACCATTCCATTGCCATGGCAATGCACATGCATAACTGTTTATTCTTTTAAAATCCATTTGTGCTGTTCCATTGTTTGAAAATAATTTCATAATCTTTGTTCTACGCATTCACTTGTTCGAATCTCACTGGTTTTTTAAACCTGAAGAAGACCGAAAGTACGGTTGAAAACGTTTGTTATTAAATGTTTACTGCTGGACTTTTAAGGTTTAGGAGTGTTAATTGTCCTTATATTATCAAGATACAGGTTTTTCTCAATAAATTTTGAAAGCTTAAATCAAATTTAAACAAATAGCATTATTGAAAATGAAATTTTATGTTTGTGTTATGTTACTATATTTAATTAGGGGATACAAAATAAACAGTAACTTAATAAATTAAGTATTAGTCTTCAAAACAATGCTTAATTATTTAATGTCATGTTTAATGTTTACAATAACATCGTAATTTACATATCAAAACAATATGTTGATAAATTATTTTTAGGTTGATGTGTTTAATGCCATTTTCATATTTTTAAATTGATGTTTATGTACTACTAATGCTAATATGTATTATATGCTACTAATACTAATGTACTACAACACAATATCTTAAAATACACTGTACTTATATTGATGTTTGAAGAGATTTATGCTTTTTTAATTCATAAAACTATTTTTCAATATACATAACTTTTGATGTAATGGAACATACTAATGGATTTTTATTTGAATTAATTAATTGAAGAGTAATTAAAGTAAAATTAAATAAATAAAAAATTAAATTAGGAAATTGTGATTTTTTTTTTGTTTATTTTTGTTATTGTTAGATTATTCATGGATTAGGCAATTTTTCTTGCTTTAATTACATTTATTTCTTCCTTCCATGTCCCTTCTTCCTTTTGGCTTACAATTGAGCTATTTTAGCAGTCTTCTGTCTGTCATTCTGTTTACATGTTTCCATTTCTGTCAATATTTTGTTACACAGTTATTAATGGAGAATGTGTCTAGATTTCTTATGTCTTCTATATCTTATCCAGTCTGCAGCCTTTTATCATTTTCAAAAATTACATTTCAGTATTTTGAATTCTGCTTACATCTTGCCTGTTCAGTCACTCATGTTTCAGAACCATACAATGGTATTGGAGTTACCATAACTTTATAAAATTTGAGTTACGTCTCTTTCCTTTTCTTTTGTAATGTGTTTTTGATAATACCACATTTTTGTTGATAAAAATAAAACTAAGTTTAATGTATTATTACATTGAGTATTATTAATGATAAATAATTATTTGGTATTTTTTTTTATTAGATATTTTTTAATGATTCAATTTAATTTTCAGGAATTGGAGATATTTACATTCCACCACCTCCACCACCAGCTTGCACATTCGATTCTAATGGACCTCGTTTAATTATTACACACATTGAGAACATTAATTTCAAGTCATATGCTGGAAAACAAGTATTGGGACCATTTCATAAAGTAAATATCAAATTATAAAACCATATTTTAGTATTGAAAAATTTTGGAATACAGTAGAGCCTCGAAAACTCGGCACTCGATAACCCGGCACTCCGGATAACTCGGCCACACCCTGGCAGGGCAAAAAAATCCTTAGTTAATTAATTTTCATGATAAAGACAGCTTTATGCCTCATAAAGTATTTTTCTGAGGTCTGTCTTATCAGGTAAATTACTGTACACAGTGTGTTCATTAATTTTCATTTTCATGTAGTAAAGGCTCTATGCCTTCATAAAAGACATACTTTTCCTTTGTTTAAGTGTATTTGGGCAGTTTATTCTCTGTTGTATTCTCAAGTAAACAATACATACAAGTACAGTACAGTACAGTATTTTTTGAGGAAACACTCATAATTATTTTTTTTAACCCCATTCCCGATAACCCGGCATTTTCACAAACTCAGCCACCCTTCAGTCCACATTAGGCTGAGTTTTTGGAGGTTCTACTGTATATAAATTGTATATTAGAATTATGCTAATGATTAGTCACATTCACACTTCTTCTATTAGTGTAAGTATTAAATTCTGCAAAAATTGTTTTGTTCTAGTATTTTTCCAGTTTCATTTCTCAAAAATAACTTCAGTTATATCTGTTTAAATTTACATAAAAATGTGAATATAAAAATTTTAATATAAATAAATTTAAATGTTTGTGTGTCTAGTCTTTATAGTTCTATATTTTGTAATTATTCAATAATTTTAATTTGTAATATTACTGTTTTAGTAATTTTTTAATTGTATTTTTAATGTGTTTATTCAAAGCAGTTTTATTTGTTTTATTAATTAAGCATAATTATCTCTCATTTTACTGCTATATATACAAAACATAAATGTTGACTGTCTTCGGATGATCACTTATTATCATATTAATTATCTTCAGATGTTAATAAAATTAATTTAAAGGAATTAATTGAACAAAACAGGACTTAATATTAAGTACTTTTAATAATATTAACTTTTTATTTTTAGGTGAAATATCTTTAGATGGTTAAATTTTTAAATGACTAAGACAAAACCTTTCTCACTTTGTTTCTAGCCATTTAAATGGTGTTTAAACGGCTAGAAACAAAGTGAGAAAGGTTTTGTCTTAGTCATTTTGAATAGTTCTACTCCAAATGCATAGAAGTTACATTTTTCTTTATATATTTTGATATTTGCCATTTTGGATGATAATAAATTATTTTTTTACAAGAAAATAAATAAATAAATAAAAATTCAAACAAGCGAAAAATAACTTTTTTTAAATTTCAGGACATTGAAAAGTTTAATGATAAGTTGTAAAAGGACAGTATGATGGTTTTGTTTGATATGTTGTAAAATCTGAAGTAACTGTTTATCTTTTTACTTTCCCAGTTGTTATACAGAGGGAAAGTATGGCGATCTGGCAAAAAATGACCCCCAGATTTTTACATTTTTGGACTTACAACACATTAAAAGGTCAAGAAATGGAAAAACGTTTGGGAGTAATTTCTCTATGTTTGAATATGTGTGTATATGGTGCACAATTTTGTTCACCCTGTTTGAAGCTTAATAACTCCTGTGTTTTTTGTTGAAAATTTCTGAAATTTTGCAGGGAAGTTTGTTTATCAAGGGTATTGATGCTATTAAATTTTGATGGTTAAAGATAGATGGGATGGGGAGATAATTGGGGTTGTATGTATCACTAATAGGGTCAGACTTAATGACGATTTTACTTGTTATTAGCATTTACAATTTTTTATAAAACTCATCCTAACCCTCGAAATTAAGCTTTTTGCATTTTATAATAGTTAAAAATATAAGTTTTTTAAGTAAAACATGATAACAGATTATGCCATTAAAATTTTAAATGTTGCTGGGAAAGTTTAGCAACTTGTTGCTGAATTTTTTACAGTAAGTCATTAATTAATGATGTTGAAGTAACTGAAATTAGTTATTTCAATTTCTGAAATTCTAAACACATCAAAGGAAATAAACTGACTATAATTTATGTATAATTTTTGCAAAATTAATTAATTTTATTGAAATTTAAAAGTTATTTGATCTTGTTGCATTGGTATGTTGTTTTGCTTGAATTACTTAATTGGCTTACTTTACCAGAGTAATTATGCTTAATTGGTTTCACAATCCTGCTCTAAATTAAATTTTTTATTTGATGATTTTAAATTATTAACTAAAAATCATAAAATTTTATTATGAATTATCTCAAGAGATGATCACCAATCTGTAAGTTAAATTTCATTAATTAATTAATTAAATCAATAAAAATTAACAGTGTTTGATTTTTTAAACACTGTTTTTTTGATGATTTAGCTCATACTATTCATTTTTATGATATTTAGAAGTTTAAATTTTTTTGTAAAAATACTTGCTATATTCAATCCAGTCAAGTTTAAAAATTTGTAATTTTGGTTACATGTAATGTCTGACATACCATATTTTTAGTGTTAAGTTTTACATGTATGTTGTTTTGATTTGTGTACAGGTAACCCCGTATAACATGAGAGTTACGTTCCAAAAAATTGCTGTGCTATGCAAATCCGTGTTATACGAAACAAAGAACTAGTGCAAAAAGGGGGGTTAGGTTCCAAAAATTAAAAAACATGTTTTTAAATCCTTATTTAAATCGGATTTATTATTCATTTTTTTTTCATAGGTAAAATACTTATTTATTATTTACGTAAATATTTTACCAGAGGATTATTCATTTTACGTGATCTCAGCATGCGCATCATCAACTGGTAACAGTTTGTGGGTGTGTTCGTTAATAGTGGTCGCTCTGCAACAGGAGTGTGCTGCAGTTTGTAGGCATTTAGGAGCGATGGTGAAAGAAAGGTGGCAGCACCAGCACTATCGATAGTATCGTGTGGAGGAATCTATAATTCTAAAATGAGCTTTTAGAGGCAAAAGAAGGGTGCCAATTGTATAATTTAACCATTAAATGGATTATTTGTTGAAAGAGCATTCAAAGTAGCCACGAAAACAATTAGAATGCTCGTGCGGAGGTATAAAAGAACGCACCCTTCATTACATTTTATGTTGTACGAGGGTTTTACTCAATTTCCGAACCATGTTAGAGTGAACCCGTGCTATAAAAGCACTGTGCTATATGGGGGATGATCCCAATTCTCGAACCGTGTTTGAGTGAATTTGTGCTATAGAAATGCCGTGTTATATGGGGGTTACCTGTACTATATATTATAAATTGTTCCATGTGAGTGGGTTGTCCATGTGAATCTCACTTTATTTTTCTGTTTCTTTGTAAAAAGGAAATGGTCAATTTAATTAGTAGTCTATTTATTTTATCTAATACTGACAATACATTTATTTTACTAACACGAGAGAGAGAGAGAGTTTACAAATAAAAGTTTTTTACAAAAATATACAATGGTAGAATAAGTATTATTAATATGGAGGCTTTCTGGGTTTATTGGTTGATGAGGTTAAAGAGTCAGTTAGTGGAATGGGCCCTTCATGAGTTTCTTGATATCTACTCACATGGACTAAAATGCCATGATTTTACTGAATGTCATTTCTTATTACTTTCATATTTTTTATTTTGATTTTTTATTGATTTTTGTCTGGTATTTCTCAGGCAGTTCAAATTTGTAAAGAAGTTTTGTTGGAACTTGAGATACAAAATTTAAATGTTTTTTCAATGGCAATTCAAAACTTGAATACAGTAGAGTCCTGTAAACTGAACTTATTATGAACTGATAAGTTTTATGGGCTCCAGGGTGGGTTATTCACACTCATAATATATTACTACAAATTTTTTAAAAATCTTTTAACACATTTAGAGCAAAAGAAAATCTACAGTACAATCTAATAAAATAATTACTGTGCTGCAAAAGATTTACCTCCAGACAATATCTTATTATTACATGTGTATTAAAAGGTATTATATGTGCAAATTCATAAATATATTAACTAAGTACCAATAGTGACTGTCTCTATTTATAGTTAAATTTTAATTTAAAAAAAATATTGGCTATTCAGTGGCTATTTTCAAGTTAGTGACATTTTGCAGTGGCACTTTGGGAAAAGGGTTATATTCTTTTTCAACATATGGAATTGATGCTATTATCAAGTGTTAGCAGTGAAGAATGATAACTTATTTGATCCTGATGTTAAGTTATAGAGATATAAATTAAATTACATTTTTTAATTTATTTTTAAATGATGTGATGAATTTTACAGAATGTTGAGATATTGAGAGTGAAGTTTCCAGAACTCTATTTAATAACATGTATTATATGGTTGGGATAATCTGAAGGAAGTTTTAATGGAATGGTGGATTAGTGAATGTTCCTGATACAGTTTATTATACACATTAATAAAACAATGATTCAAAATTTGGGTTATAAGTAGTAAATATTTTGGATCCAACACCTACTTATAACTACAGGCATACCTCGACTTACGTCGTTTCGAGTTACGTTGTTCCCGATTATACGTCGTTTATCAAAAAAGTATATGGAAAAATAAATATCAAGTTTAAGTCATTTTATTCAACTTTACGTCCGTCCGCCACAAATATTGAAGTCATAATATCACTATAAAAGCGTTTAAAGCACATAAAATCATATTAAAATATATACTAGTATGTTCTGTATTTACAGTACATGCATTCGTAGATTTAGAATACTTTTTTCTGTACTATATTAAAAACTAAAATTTATTTGTTTGTAAGCTTAAAATAGATTTTTATTAACCATATATTATTAAAAATGCATTAATAAATAAAATACAAAACCAGGAATGGTAATTTATGGTTTAGCCTAGTGACAAGTAGATTCGGAGACAAGTAAATTCGACTTACGTCGTTTTTCGACTTACGTCGTTCTCCTGGAACCAATTACCGACGTAAGGCGAGGTATACCTGTATTTTTATTTCTATCAAATCAGTAGAATGTGCATCTCTTTCTCTTGAAAAATTACAGTAAATTTTCCTTATTTATATATTTGTACATACTATGATTTTTTAAATATTAGATCAGAGTTACCGACTATCAATGCAAGTACTGTACTTACAATATTTGTCTCACTTCAATTTTTAAGCAGTCTTTCTGCTGTGCAGATAACTTCTCTTCTAACTTAAGTATTGGGGTGGTTCACTGACCACCTAGTAGTGTCATCTTTTCTTAAAAATAAATTTTATTCTATTCTAAACATTATAATTTCATTTCCCAAATGTTTCTGTCTTCAACCTCTTCAGTTTCAGAATTGTGATTGTGGATGTTTTTAGTCTTCTGTTTCACTTGTATTATTATCAATTGGTTTTTCATTGGACAACATATTTTTATATAATTGTCTCAACCTATTTTCTTCTTTTAGGAAACTACAGCTAGTTATTTTTTTACTTTAGTTACTGAACTATTCCCCAGTAACCTTTATCCAATGATGATTTTATAGTTACAAAAAACACTTTTGTTAATAGTTATGTGGAATAACTATAAACACCAAACTAACTTTGTAGCAAAATTTTAACAGATCTAAAAAATTTTTTAGACTCATAGATAATGCAAGAAGTAACAGCTAGATCAGTGTTTCTTAACCTGTAACGAATCGTCGCCCCCTTCAATAAAAACGTTATGTAGTATCGCCCCCTTCACTTCAAAATTCCAATGCCGAGGGCCAAGGCTAATGCCAAATTCGTACTGCATCGAACAGACTAGTGACTAGTATAATGTTATTTGTTTAATTATGGTACGATATAACGAATAAAATATCTAATTATTCTTAATATAATGTTTTACTATATCGCCCAGAAAATTGTTTTTCGCCCCCCCAAATATAAATCGCCCCCGTTGAGAAACACTGAGCTAGATGAATTGACAAAAATTGTCTTTGAAAATATTACTGTATTATGTACTGTAGTTACTTGATACAGTTGATACTATTGTGATCTCTGAAAAACATATTTCTAGCATCTTACATTAATATTAGTAATTATTTGGGGAAAAAATTTTAAGAATGTAATATAATATGCTAAATAGTTTAATTTAAAAAATGATACTTGTATTTTTTAATTTTAAAAGACAATTTAGAAAAGTGAGAAAGTAACATTAAGCTTATATAATATATAAATTTTCAGAAAATTTGTAAATGTGTTTTTGATTTATTCCAGAGTTTCACATCTATTGTTGGACCAAATGGAAGTGGAAAGTCAAATGTTATTGATTCAATGCTTTTTGTATTTGGTTATAGAGCTCAGAAAATAAGATCTAAAAAAATAAGTGTATTGATTCATAATAGTGATAACCATGCAAATGTTGAAAGTTGTTCTGTCAGTGTACATTTTCAAAGGATCATTGATAAGGTAAATAAAAATTTTATTACTCTGAATATTTTTACTAATAATAGTATTTTGTAATGAGTGATTGTAATTAAAGTATCTATGATGTCTAGAGAGATATTTAGCAGTCCAATATGGTGAAACTACAAGATGTGTGGGAAAACATTTTCTTAAAAAGAATTAGTACTAAAACTCACTACGGCACTTTTGATACTACAATTAATGAAAAAACAGTTTCCTTTGCATAAACACACATATTACAGTTAAGTTCTGAGTATAGAAAATGCCACAGCTGCTTAATGTCATTCTGATTAATTATAATGGCATTACTCTGTGATTTCTTTTCAAACTGTTTTATGAAAACAACAGCACTGCTGTGGCTGCACTTCAGGAATTTCATTATCATAAGAATTTATGCTGAGGGTCAGGGATTGTGCTGCATAGTGCCAAAATTATTACTTGGCAATATTTTTATTAAAGTGGTGATAAAAATATAATATTGGCAATAGCAAATGGTGATAAAAACTTTAATCTATATTCAGCGTGAAATTAAATCACAAATCACACTTTGGGAAAAACAGCAGAATGTCTATGGCAGTGTTTTTCAACCTTCTTGAATGCGCGACCCCTTTACAAGTTAAAAAATTCTGGCAACCCCCAGGGCTATATTAAAACTATGTCAGTGATTTTAAAAACTATGTATTTAATTTTCTTTCTGTTGAGACCTAAATATCGATTGAAAAACCAATTGTACTGTGCAAAGAAGTAGCAAGAGCCCTGCAAATAGCTTTGCCACCGGGGCGCTGGAGGTGAGTGCGCCTCGTGCCGCCCGTGCAGTAACATATACTCACTTTCTTTTGTTTCTGTCAGTTTTCCAAGTACGCCAACAAGTACAGACGTGATTGTATTGTCTTTGCACTTTACTCCACGTGAGCATAAAATGGATGTTTCTCAAAAGATTGTAGCCCTCCACGTCTGGTACAAGTGGCAGTGACAGAAGTGAATCAAAACCAAAAAAAAAATAAACATTACGATGACAATTACTTGAAATACGGGTTTATTGTCATGAATAATAAACCTCAATGTATACTTTGCGGCGATATATTATCACATGAGAGTATGAAACCATCAATGCTTATGTATCACCTCTCAGCCAAACATTCCCAGGAAACTGATAAACCGCTGTATTTCTTTGAATGTAAGCTTTTCAGCTTATATTCAAAGAAATACCCTTAACCAGCACCAAAATACTATGATTCAGGTAATAAAATAGTATTGTTATTTGGTGATTAAAAATATTTTTTATTGCTCAATTATTTATTTGTTTTTCTGATTTTTTTTTGTCTGTTTTTAGGTATCCATTGTCAACAAAAATACATTGTTAGCTAGTTAAAGAGTTGCATACTGAGTTGCTAAAGCAGGGAAGCCGCATACAGTTGCCAAAAATCTTATTTTGCCAGCAGCCCTAGATATGATTGAAATTATGTTAGGTAGGCAGGAGGCAAGCAAGCTAAAAAGCATACCACTTTCTGACAATACTATTGAATGCAGAATAAACAATATGGCCAGTGACATTCAAGAACAAGTAGTCAAGAAATTAAAGAAGAGCCCAGATTTTGCTTTGCAGTTTGATGAATCTACTGATGTTTCAGATTATGCACAGTTTGTAGTATTTGTGTGCTTTGAAGCAGATGAAAGTATCACAGAAGACATTTTATTTTGCAAAGCACTTTCTGCAAACACTACAGGTCAGTGTTTGTATGACATGTTTTTAGAAAGCACTCGCAACTACGGATAAAATGTATTGCCATTTGTAGCGATGGCGCTAAAGCTATGACTGGACAAAAAAGCAGACTCATTGCAAAATTAAAATCAATAATGCCAGATGTCTCATGGACACACTGTTTTATTCATCAACAAGCTCTGGTAGCCAAGGTTTTACCTTTTGATTTAAATGATGTGCTTAAAGAGGTGATCAAAATTGTGAACTCTATTAAAGGTAAAGCCGTGCAAACTCGACTGTTCAGAACCATTTGTGAAGATATGGGTTTGCTCCATCAAAATCTCCTTTATCATACAGAGGTCAGATGATTATCCAAAGGAAAGGTATTGACAAGAGTTCTAGAACTGAAAGCTGAATTGTTAATGTTTTTACAAGGTGCTAAATCTGAATATGTGAATTATTTATGTGACCCTGTTTAGCTCCTAAAATTAGCATTTCTTGCTGATCTTTTTAGCCACCTGAATATTTTAAACAAGAAACTCCAAGGGAGAGAAGAAAATATTCTGACAGCTAAGGATAAAATCAAAGGATTCTTTGCAAAACTTCATTTGTGGTCAACATCTTTGCAAAAAAATATATATGAGTCTTTCCCTTGTGTTTAGAAGATTGTCGAAGAAACTGCAATGGATCAATTGTTGGTAGTAAGTTCTCACATTCCTTGCTTGATACAGAGCTTACATAATTTGGAAGAGAAACTATTAACTTATTTTCAAAAACTGGACTCTGAAGCTGACAATGGGCATAGATGGATACTAAATCCTTTCATGGATATGTCAGTACAACTGGCTGATCTAACCATGAAGATGAAAGAAAATCTTATAGATTTAGCTGCTGATGGCATGCTTAAAATGGAATTTCATTCGCAAAATATTGACTTCTTCTGGATGAAGAGAAAACAAATGTATCCAGAAGTGGCAAGGAAGGCTTTAAAATTATTAGTGCCATTCACCACTTCTTACCTATGTGAATTAACATTCTCTTCAATGGAGGACATAAAAACTAAAAAGAGAAATAGGCTTCAATTAGAAAATGATTTAGTTATTTGTGTCTGAAAAATAGAACCACATTTTGACAAATTATTAAAAAATAAACAGGCTCAGCCTTCTCACTGAAATTGTAGTTTTTTTTTTATTGTAGTGTAGGACCTACAAATACTTGTCTTTTTCTTTTACCTGCAACCCCTTGTGTAAGGCTTTGCGATTAGTGTTTTTCAACCTGTGGGTTGCGACCCCCAGGTTGAAAAACACTGGTCTATGGGAGTCCCATGAACCACATACACCTAGCAATTTCATGACGTTCATGTGGCAGCAGAGTAGTAGGAAGTGATGTTGAGAATGAAAGAATTTTGTGCAATGCTGCCTGGCATTTCCAGATTGGGGATTTTTCATTGACTGACAGAAAATTTGAGGAATATTTTGGAATGATTTTTTTCCACTTTGATTTTTTTTTTAGTAGACTGAAACAAAAATTTTGACATGACAGAACCTGTGAAATACTGTTTAAACATTGTGATAAAATATGTTATTTGGAATTATTCATTAAAAAATTATTCAAAAATGATTCTTATTGCTAACAAGGAGAGGCCAGACATTAGGGTTTCTGTTTCGAATGAAACTTGGTGAGCATGTAACCTTAAGCACAATCAGCTCCTTGTCTGAATAATAGGATCCACTTCTGAAATGTTTCCCAAAAAGCAGCCTCTGAAAATTTAGTGTTTAGCTTATAAGTCTTTGAAAGTTTCATATTTTCAAGTGGCAATAACCAAGTGGATAAAACGCTATTCATTGGAGCTAGATGATAGACCTATAGGTTCAACCTTCAGAATTTTAGTTTAGTTTCTTTTTTAATATGTAACATTATTTTATTTTACTGCTTCATTAGCATTATTATTACTATTATTATTTATCTTGTTTAAAGCTTATAAAACAAGAAATTGAAAATTATGACATTATTTCCTATTTAGCAAAAACAAGCCTCTGTAGATTTAACTCTTTTATAATCATTAAATAAGCATTGCCAGATTTGGCTACTCTTTTTTTAGTTTGGTATAAAAAATATCATTTGGCACATTGGCTACTTTTTGGACTACATAAATTTGGCTATATTTTTGGCTACATATTTATTATAAATATATTATTTGAATAAAAATGCACTAAAAAATGGTGTTTTATTGTTCAAATAAAACAAATATATATATATTTTTAAAATAAATTATTTATAATGGTGACAAACAAAAATTTGTCTTCTAAGTAAAAATTGAAAGTGTCTGAAGAAGTAATTTTTTAAAATATTTTTTTTGTGATAAAGTTTTAATACTAATAACTATAGTCTGGTCCTGTTAATCCTTAATAATAGGAAAATTAATATTTTTTCTGCTATTCCAAAGGACTTACCAAACCACAGTTATTTAATTTGAAAATTGACTAAGAGATTTCTTTATTAAACTAATATGTGTATTTTGGGTTCATTAATACCTTCATCAGTTGGGTTTTTGTTTTTCTATTTTAACAGGGGGAAAATGATTTAACTTTTTCTTATTAAATTTATCATTGAAAATACCATATATTTGTTTTTAATATTTTAATTTGTTTCTCTAGTCTGCCTACGTCCCATAGTACAGAAAACATTCTTTTATTATTATTATTTTGCTTCAATGTATAGTATGTATTGATTAAACATTAAATAAGAAAATTAATTTTTTTAGTCTGTCTTTGCAAGATCATTTGTTACATAATTTGTTGCAATCTACTTTGCATATAAAATGAGTGTTTTTGACATATTAGTAAATTACAGTTTTTGCATGCATTTTGAGTCTTATGATCCTTATTTCCTTAGCTGTTTTTTGGCTAATTAACAGGCCTATAAATTGGCAGAAAACATTTGTTCTATGATTAAAGTTATTACTAGAAAAGTACAAATAGTGTGTTTTTTTTTATTTTATTGTCAAATCTCAGGTTATTTATCAAAAAAGAATCGTTTTTTGAGTTGGCTACTTTTGGACTACTTTTTAGAAAATTTTTGGCTGCAAAAAGCTAAAAACATCTGGCTTTGTTCAAACAATGCTAGTTTCATTTGAATTGGAGACTTGAACATTTATCTTCTTGTAAGTGACAGGTTAACATGTTACTTTTGCTTTTCAAATGCCAAACTGATAAGTCTACCAGCATCTGCATTAATTAGTAAGTAAAACTGGTTGCAATGATTTGAAGTAGTGAAAAAATTAAAAATTGGCAGAAGGTTGGCAATATTTAAAAATTTTTCAGAGCGACCCTTGGAGGATCATTAACTTCCCAGATCTCAGAGGAATGATCACTCAGATTGTGCAAACTTGACCTAAAAATCTGAAGCTGAAATCTAAGAATTCAGCCTAATTATGGATGCAAACTTATTACTTTACAAATCATTGAGGATGTTACCACAGCTGCTGTTGAACAGTCAATGAATAGTGCATGTGTAATGTCATAGCAGTTGGATATATCCTACAGCAAAATGTGGAAGATATTGAAAAGTTGGAGATTTTTATTCATATAAGATCAGCCACAATCAGCAGTTGCTTGCTGATAGGGAATCCCAGTTGATCTTTGTATCAACTTTCCTTGCCAACATGAAAATGGATGTGTTGCAGCATGGAATATCCTTTGGAGCAATGAGGCACATTTTTATCATACTGGAACAATAAACATCATCCATAACTGTCACGTTTGAACCACAGGAAACTCTCATGTTTTCTGGTAGATGTCACTGCACTTGTCTAAAGTCACAGTCTTGAGTAGATTCACAGTAACATTTATTCTTGTACCAAAAATACCTTAATCCAGTAAGTAACACCAAATTTATTAATTGAATGAATGTTTTCAATCTTGTTTAAAGGCCATCATCAGGTTATTATTGAAATTCTCTCTCTGCAATTCTGACAAAAAAATTATTGGTAAAATATTGTCACAGAAACTGTTGTGTGACAATATTTTAGCAATAATAGAGGGTTTAGTTATGTGTTTTCTACTGCCAGGGCACTTCATTTAGTGGATCTTAACTTGTAACAAATTTAGTAGCCTTGAAAGAAAGTATTATACTGCGAGAAACATCACAGAGGATCATTTATGTTTGGCTGTTAATACACTGTTCATTACCTCCAGTATTTCAGTTTCAGAATGTAGATCACATTGAGCAGCTTATATTACTAAGAGGATGCAAGAAACAAAGGCATGAAAATGCTGTAGGCATGAATTTTGGTACTGATGTTTTTTACAGAAATATCTTCTACATGTTCTGAAATGTCACATACCAGATTTCATTGTACAGTGGTACCTCAGGATACGAAATTAATCCGTTCCAAAACTGAGATCGTATCATGAAAATGTCGTAAGGTGAATCATTTTTCCCCATACGATTACATATAAAACCAAATAATTCGTTCCAACACGAAAAACACACTCAAATTAAAGATAAGTTGTACATTAAAACAAAATAACTATAGTAAGGAAAACACTGAAAAATGCATTTTGTAGTTGTAAATGTATAAATAACCATAATAGAATAATAATTGATTAAAAAAAATGTAGTTTTATTTGCACTTTACCTTTGAGGATAGACGACGGTGGAGGTGTAAACTGGTGGCGGAAGAGAGGGAGAAGGGAAATGATACTAAAACTTAACTTACATAACATAATGTAACGATAACTTAAAAATAACTTAAAACTAAGTTTTTTATCTTTTCTAAATTATTTTTAAAACTAAAAATTTTTTTTTTAAATTTTTATTCACTGCTTTTTGCTTTCTTTCCTTCACTTCCACCAGCACTTTCACTGGATAGAGGTCGCTTGGTAAAATATCTATCCAAAGAGGTTTGGCTTTGCCTACTTTTTAAAATGTTTCTAAAATGACTTAGGCAAATGTCATTACTCCGAGCAGCAATACGGCCAGTGTGAACCTTTTCGGGATGTTTCTTTTCAATAAAATCAGTCACTTTCTCATAATACCTCAAGATTTCCTTTATTGAGCGAGATCCTTCCAAGACTCAGCAAACACGCGGACTGAGACCGATGAACAGAAGTGAATAAAAAATGGCGCTGCGAACTAATGTAACATCGTATTGTGAGTTTTTGTTCGTATCGTGGAGCAAAAATATGTTCGAATTTCATGTTGTATCCTGAAAATTTCGTATGCTGGGGCGTTCATATCCTGAGGTACCACTGTATTTGGATTGCTAAATATCTTCCTAAATAGCATTAAATAGGGGTACTTTAATTAATTATGATCACATGGTATTTGATTTTGTCAATCTGATAAAATTGGATTTATAAAAAAAACAAATTAAAATTTATGTGGAAGATTTTTGATTAAATGGTCAATATATAATTTTAATAATAGTCACGTGCACAATAGAATGCTATTTTTGATGAGTAGAAGAATATGGGGAGAATTTTGAAAATAATACAATCAGTGGTATCACTTTTGAAATTATATCAATTGTAATGTGCTATCCATTGCTTTAAAACTAACAATTGATTAATGTGACATTAGTACAGTCTTATACTGTATTTTAATTTATGTCTTGTGGATTGATTTTTATTAAAATTTTTAACAGGCCTATAAATTGGCAGAAAACATTTGTTCTATGATTAAAGTTATTACTAGAAAAGTACGGAAGGTGTCTTTTTGATTTTATCGTCAAATCAGGTTATTTATCAAAAAAGAATCGTTTTTTGAGTTGGCTACTTTTGGACTACTTTTTAGAAAATTTTTGGCTGCAAAAAGCTAAAAACATCTGGCTTTGTTCAAACAATGCTAGTTTCATTTGAATTGGAGACTTGAACATTTATCTTCTTGTAAGTGACAGGTTAACATGTTNAATTTCATTTTCATTGCTGATCAAATATTTTCAAATTATTACTCTAAATTATCAAGAAATTTATAATTTATGAACAATTCTCATTGACATTTCATTTACTCATTATTTGGATGTTGTATTGGAAGTGTTCAAATATTTTGGAAGTGTTCAAAATATTTGACTGACTAGTTCATAAATATCTAAAATTCTTATTTGTTAAGCAATATTTGTTGTAATTAATGATATCACAAATAAACTTATTGAAAAAAATAATATAATTCACAATTGCCTTGTACATGTGTAAAAGATAAACATTCAGTATACTTTTAAAAATTATCTTGATTGATCTAAAATTAAATTTGAATGATGATAGTTGTAAGTATATTGTACATAATTGAAGTATGCACTATCATAACGTTATAAATGGCATTTATTTCTAAATTTGTTTTATTGAAGAATTATAAATGCAATGCTTTCTGCTGCAAAAAAAAAAATATTGAAGTGATAGTGGCACTGTAAGTGGCTGTATTTTGAAGTTGAATTTATATGAAGCTGTAATGTTTAAAGTGCCAGAGTGCAGGTCACATGACTATTGGTGCTTAAAATGTTACAGCTTATATTTACATCATTTTGATATTCCAGACTTGTAACCTAGAGAATTGTAACCTAGTGAATTTTTTACCATTTTATTGTAAAATTCAAATGAATTCATTCACTAAAAAAAGTATTTTTACCTCTACTGAAAAGTTTGTTTTTTGGCATTTACAACAATAAGGCATTGCATATTTCATATATTTTTAAAAATTTTTTGTTTTACTTAACAAAAAGAATGAAAACAAAATATCTTATTCTTATTCCTAATAACAAAAGGAATGAGATGATTTTTATTTTACTATAAAATTTATTTATAAATCAAATAATAAATATTAAATTATTTTTATAGCCTGGAGATAGCTTTGAAGTTGTTCCTAATTCACAATTTTATATACAAAGGACTGCATTTAAAGATAATAGTTCTTATTATGCTATCAATGGGAAAAGAACACAGTTTAAAGAAGTGGCACGCCTTTTGCGATCACATGGAATTGATTTAGATCATAATCGATTTTTAATTCTACAGGTATTTATAATTTATGTTTCCACNTTATGAAAACATTCATAAGCATTCATTGATGTCATTTTGAACAGCGCTATATAGAGGTTTGACTGTGTTTTCTATTATCGAAACGTTGTCATTAATGTTTTATATGCTCTAAATCTTTAAAACTATAAAAAGAGACCATGTGTTTAAAGATATTACTGTCTCACAACTAAATTAAAAATGTGGAACAAACCTTTATGATTTGCTGTACATGCATATTAAAATGAAAATTTTCTATAAGCGATAATACGTGAAACTTTCTAAAATTAGAAAAAAAAATTACACATAAGTGGTTTTCTGCAATTTAAATGCTATTAGGAATATTAAATTTTTAGTTTAAAATTTCAAATAATTGTAATTTTACATTTTATTCAAGTAAAAGTAGAAGTGTTGTTAATAGCAATGAATTTTATTATTTTAGTTATTGTATCATATTTTTGCGGATTGTCCAGCATGTTGGTCTATCCAGGATGACCATGAAATCAGATACACTATTTCTGTATGGTAAAAATCGGCATGCCAGTTCATCTTGGAGAGTGCCTGCATGCCGGTTTAAGTGAGTTTATACATCCTTCTGAATAGGACGTATTAAAAAACAAATGAGTGACGTCAGGTAAAAAGGAACACGTTTTTACTCTAAAACTTTGAAACTGTCAGCAGTACATCAAAAGCTATGAATATATGTTTAATTTCTGCATTTTGTTGATTTCTAATGATGTAAATACTTGGGGCATTTCCCAAGTATTTACATCATTAGATGTAAAAGTGCTTTGTTTTATGTTTACTTTATTGTAATTTTATTCAAAAACTATATAATCTTTTAGATAAAAAAAATTTTATCTAAAGTTTATCTAAAAAGTTTATCTAAAAAAATTTAGATCAAAAAAGTATATAATCCTTTAGATTTTGAGTAATTAAGCTTGAATAATAAACTTTTTTATCCCACATACACCAACAATAAACAATAAAATGCTCCTATAAGAACAGCACTTCTTAGAAAAGACATGTCCGAATTAGTGTCACCTGAGAAACTAACCGATAAGTTTGTGGAGCTCGCTTCTGAAGATTGCAATATATCAGGACAAATCTTACCAAAAGCATATTAAATTTTAGAAATTTGCTGTAAATTATCTCAACTTACACTGATTAACATTGGCTTTGTGTGAAATTAGTGAGGAAGGTGTTATTTTTAAGATCAGGGTAGATTGTCAGTGCAGTTCATATTGACTAACTACTACTACTACAAATGTCAATAAGCTGTTAATTGTTTTATTGTCTTGTAAATGAAAACTCTTCCTGATTTTAAATCAGTTAAATTACAATGTTGTTATTTTATTGTACTCTGAAGAATGTTTTCTGTAAAATTTTATTAACAACTAATTTTGTTAGATTTGATTAATTTTAATGTTTAATCTCAGTTTAATCAGCATGCTAGTCTCTCCCCAGTTATATACGGCATGCCAGTTAATCTGCAAAAATATGGTAAAAATTGTAAATACAGTAGATCCCCCTATAAAACTGTTTCCTGTAGTTATGATTCCTATAAAAATTGTGGCAGTATCCGTAAACAACGGTAAAAATAACTCCTATAATACGTAAAACGTCATCGGGCAGCCGAACTACTTTCCCGCCGTCCGTAGCGCCACGCTACGGACGTTTAGGCAGATAAATTGAGTTTAGTATCGTCTGTTCATATAATTATATATAAATTAGGTACTGTACATATAATTATATATTAATTATATATAAATTAGGTACTGTATATATAATTATATATTAACTTAATTTATTGTAACTTTATTATAATTAAATATATATTTTTCGCCGTCTAGCGTCACGCTACGGCGAGTTAGGCGACCTATCGTCTGTCCAGTACTGTAATTTTATACATTTCTTGTGAAAGAAACATTTCTTATTTAACGGCCATAAAAATTATTTATATTAAGGATGTCTCCAAAGGTCAACGAAGTTTTCGCAGAAAAATAATATCAGAAATCGCGGCCGCGGTTTGATGCGCTGTTCCGCGACGAAACCAAGCTTTAGCAACGGGCGTAGTCGAACGGTACACACTCGGTAAGCAATCCTACAATTTTTTGTTTATAACGTAGTTTATACGGA